GTTTCATGCTAAAGTAATTTTTTTCCAGGTCCTTTATTCCGGTAGGGGGGGACGGCGTATTCGTCCTGTCCCTCGTAGGCTACGCCTTGGCTTGGCGTGCAAGGCCTCAATTTTTATTAAAAGAAAAAAGTTTGCTTTTAAGCTTTTTTGAGTTATTTTTACAAGGTAATCATGCCTTTTTTTGGTTAAATTAATCACTTCAGGTGTTTTTATTTTTTTTATTTCATTATAAATTTTTTCAAGTTCTTTAGGCCACTGATTTAAGAGTTTTTATTTCGTTTTTAGTTTTTCGTAAGGCACGTACGCCTTTTTTGCACTACTAGTCTTTAATTTGTTTTTGTTTTAAGTTAATAAATTTTCCTCTTATAACTTATTTGTATGGTGGGTCCGAACCCACGGCCACGGTAGCGTATCCTTTTACGAGGATATTTTTACGTGGCCCCACGTTGGGCGCCAGTAAATCAAACACGGTAATTTGGTTTGATAATTTTTATTTCCCTTGCTATGCAAGGGCAGCCGATAATGCCGAGCGAGTCAATACAACTGATTTTAGCGGTGCCTGCACCTGAATTCCTAACTCCCTAACTGCCAACACCTCACGTGGACTGCCGTGTGACTCTTCTTTGCTGAATCTGCGATTCCCACGATTTTGGACTGCAGGTGTTCGTTGTTGCTGGCAAGCGCTTCCGTTGTTATGGCTCCGTTACCTGAGCTGCAGCTGCGCTTTTTATTTTAACTGATGTAGTTGTTTGCGCTGCGCTTACGGATTTTGTTCAGTTGTTGTGTTGCCTACTGCATTATGTTATTTTGCTTTATTATTGTGGCTGCCTACTGCGGTATGTTAACTTATTTGCTTTAAAAGAGAGACACAAAAAGTTCACCAAAAATTTGTGGTGAAAATAAACAGAGGCACTCAGCTGATAGCATGTATCTTTACATGCCATTTTGTTTGCACTACCCAACAGCCGCCATGGCCTAGTGAGCAAAACTTTAATCTACCGCTCGAGGGGTCCCGTCCTAGGGCAGCGATTATTATTTTTTTATAAACTTTTTATTTTTTTCTTTTCTTTTTACATAATGTGTAGATTTTAATGTTATTAAAACAAACATAACATTTTATTGGACTTTTATCATCTCAAAGTATTAAGTTTTTTTTTCCTAATGAAATTATTGCAAAGAATCGGCCGATTAAATCCTGAATATAAATTCATTTAAAGAATAAATGCTTTTATAAACTTTTATAATAACAAAAGAAAACATAATCAAATAACTAAATAACATTACCTCATTCAAGAATCGGCATCGGCCGACAGTTGCACGCAGTATTCCTTCCTTGGTATTATTTCTATCTTCGGTATTTTTCTAGCGTTGAATAATAATTCTAATTTGCAAGAAGAGTGCTTTCGATGGTTAAATAATGGATGTGTTGCTGAGCTTAAATCGGTCACTACTTCAATATGAACTGCCTTTGTACTAAAGCATACAAATACACACACACATAAGCTTTGTAAATTTTCTTGGCTCTTATTTGATGGCGTATTTATATTGGACCTAAAAATGTAGCTCCAGTATTAAGAAAAGGCCTAGTGCATCTACCTCTATCAGTAGGTAAGTTGTCCATAATTCGAAATAGGGGACGACGACTTGCCCTAAAACACCGATAACATTTGTTCACTATTCTTTTCACTAGTTGTCTACCTCTTAAGGACCAGAATTGATGCCTCACTATTGCTAGTAGGCCTTGCGATCCAACATGTAAATGTTGTTTGCCGCTAGCAATAATTTGACCAGCCCATCTTCGTATGGGAGCACCAACGCGTGCTTTGCTTCTTCTGGCTTATCGCCTTCTGTTAGCCGTCCACCAGCTCTAATAATACCAGGGTTGTGAATCGGATGAAACATTTGGTCGGTTCGGTTCAGCGGTTCGAAATGTTTTTGCACTTTTGGATTGGTTCGTCAAAGCGATTTTTTTGGTCTTTGAACCGAGGTTTCGGTTCGGTTCAACGGCTCGGAAAAAAAATAACTCGCGAATTTCAGTGTCAAGTGTCAAGCGCAACAACGCGCAAGCATAAGTGTCAAGTGTCTGTCAAATGGTGGGTTGCCATTACAAGGAATTGCAATCATTTTATAAAAGCTGAATTTTTGATATTGTGTCACATTTGTTGTGTACAGAAATAGCCCGCCGTCAGTCAATCTAATTCGTTAGCGTTTGTCGCGGGGCGGCTTTAATTTTGTATAGAAATTCTTAATATTGCGACTATGTACTTTATAAAATCTGAAAAATAATTGCGAGTAGTATATTGACTAAAAAGTAATATGACATTAGTTACTGAAATTCTGCAACTGCGCGTCAAGAGTTTTCTCTTTCTGTTATTTTATGATTAAAAAATTCAAAATTTTTGCGTTTCATCATCATCAATCATTCAGCTCTACGGATTGTGGCACCAAACTACATTCCTTATAATCAGGGCCGAAAAGTTAAAGATTTTGCTTGGAATTGCTTATTTTGCTTATTCAGGGTTTCCAAGCTTAACCTTAACGATCATGCTTATTTTGCTTAAATGTGTAAAGCTAAGTACGGACCTTTTAAGTAAACGATTAAGAAATACATTGTTGTTATTTCGTGTGTGTGAATAGTAGTGTCCGAGGAGTTTTCACATCTGATATTTTTCAGCCTGCGGTATCACTTTTTCCCTACGAAATAATGGAATAAATATTTATGTTGGAAACAAGGGTGCCTTGTACTCTTCACAAACAAACTTTAGCAAACCATAGTAGAAAGCGTAGCAAATTTCTTAAGAACGTCGTACTGCTTAAGAACACAACTAATTTAAAGTTAGTTTTGTCATAGCTAATTAGAAGTTAGTTATTTATCGAAATCCCGCTAACTATAAGTTGATTATTTAAATGAATTGATACTTTTTCTGCAGGGCCCTTTTAGGAGGCCGCTAGCGCAGTTTAATGCGTATACTTCTTCCTTAGGCACTCCGCACACGACTCGCCTCGTCATCGTATCGTCATCGGCGCGACACTAATTTTTCATGCAGCGACGATGACGATACGCTAACAGGTCCGCACACAATGCGACTATCTATCGTCAAAGTACGAGTTGTGAAAATGTCGAGCAGCGATGAAGAATTTATTTTATTAAATTATCTCCTACATCGAAGGAGAAATAAAAGAAAAAGGAAGCATTGGGTGCATCCATATATTAAAAACAACTCAAATAGAAGATTATTCATTGCCGCTAAGGAGTTAGAAGAAGACGATTTCAAATTCCAGACATTTTACAGAATGTCTAAAAATGCATTTAAGGAGCTTGTGGAAATTGTCAAGCCGGCTATTCAAAAGCAAAATACTAATATGAGAGAATGCGTTAGCCCGGAGGAAAGGATTATGATTACGTTAAGGTAAGTAGCATTCTTTTTTTGATTTTGGTGTGGTGGGCCGAGTTGAAGGTGTGGATTTCCAAACCCAATTCAGGGGGTGTAAACTTAAAGAAAAGTTATCCTCACCCCTTAGCCCCTCTAAGGAAACCTGGGGGAATTTTTTACAAAAATTACCATGTGAGAATAACAGTGAGAAACCCGAAAATCCTAGGCGGAAACTCTAGGCTGCAGTCCTGCTAAAATACCTCGCACAGTGCGGCCATGGGATCATCTGATATGACCCGAGGCACATCTTCATCATCAGGTTCAAATTCTCTCCGCCTGGAATCAACCTCGTCGAAATAGCAGCAAAGCTCCCTGGACCACCGTTACAAGAGCTAGGGTGACCTAAGTGGGGCCAGCAACGTCGCTTANACTTAAGCTACAACAAGAATATTATAGTTAAAAAAACTAAAAACACGCTTTTATTACAAAAAGAACTAAAAAGTATAAAATAATTTGTAGATATAGCGATTCCGTTTAAGAAGAATAGGAAGTTCCCTAACCTGATTTAATTTAACTGTTTTAAGTTAGCTAAAAATATGATTAAAGTGATTGATCCGTAGTTATAGTCAAAATAAAGTGCACTGTAAAGTTAGTTGCAGCTTTTTGGCATAACTTTCAATGGGGTGTCTGTAAAAAAACTGCAACAAACTTTACAGTGCACTTTATTTTGACTATAACTACGGATCAATCACTTTAATCATATTTTTAGCTAACTTAAAACAGTTAAATTAAATCAGGTTAGGGAACTTCCTATTCTTCTTAAACGGAATCGCTATATCTACAAATTATTTTATACTTTTTAGTTCTTTTTGTAATAAAAGCGTGTTTTTAGTTTTTTTAACTATAATATTATTTTCTACTTTTTAGTCTTTTGAAATCTTGCAGTTAATATTATACTAAATTTGACTTAACAAACAAAATTTTCAATATATTTCAATTTAAATAGATAATACACCTATTCTGAATATAAACCAAATTTGAGCACAGATGCCGAATTTTTAATTATATAGACTCACGCGCCACATAACTGCCAAAATTTTTTGTGTAGTTATTTCTTTTCATGTAAGCAATATGCATTCTAAATGTGAACTTAATCGGATCATAAATACGGGTTTTCCAAATATCTCGACTCCTGCGCCACCTGTCGGCAAAATTTTTTGTGGATTTATTTATTTTCATATAAGTCATATATGTTCTAAATATGAACCACATCGGATCATAAATACGGGTTTTCCAAATATCTCGACTCCTGCGCCACCTATCGGCAAAATTTTTTTCGGATTAATTTCTTTTCATATACGTAATAAATGTTCTAAATACGAACCAAATCAGACCATAAATGCGGGTTTTACAAATATCTCGACTCCTGCGCCACCTAGCGGATTAAAACATCTTTTAAATTGTATTGTCCTCGAGTTCTGAGCTAAGTTTGAAGTTTCAAGTCTGTAGCTCATCGGGAAGTTTGTTAAATATTGACTGCAAAGTTCCAGGACATACATACATACATACATACATACATACAAGTGAAATTAAATAAAAGCTTGTAAAAACAGTGCAAATACAGCAACTTCTCTCTTTTTATTTGTCTTTGTACAAATACATTTTTATTTTTTATTTCATTGCTTTCTAAAGAAAAACGTTTGAGTTCCACCCTGGGTCATCACCGGAAAGCTCTCTGCTATTGTAGTGAGTGCTACAACTGGCGGAGTTGGTGCTATATCGGGTGAAGTAGCAGGCGTACTAGCAAAAGTGGGGGCATGTGAGTCATCAGAAATGAAGTCGTGAGCCATTTCAGCGTAAATTATACGAGAAGGTGTTGGTGCATCACTTGGAGAAGGTGTGGGAGTAGCTACGAACGGCGAAGCCTGATTTGGTAAAATAAATTCTTCGTTTTCGTTCTTCAACAGGTCTTCCACCAGGAGCAAAGATCTTATTTTGAATTGCCTGAAACGCGCGGCTGATAAGCTATTTACGTCCGGGAGTAAGCTTAGCAGAAACAGTTTGCGAGAATCTTCTTCGGTTTTCTTTGCGTTTCTGTTAGTAATGTAGCCTAAGACGGCCTCTTCGACTTCGTCGTTTCCGGCAGAGCCTTTCTTACGTTTCCTTTTTTGCCCCGTACTTGCTGAAGTGTTCTGTGCCGTTTCAAACGTTATGTCGCTTTCGTGCCCATCTTCCATCGTCGTGACTTCTTCCGCATGATATACATCCCAATCTGACAAGGTAATGTTACCAGTTTGCTCAGCGTGTTGGACTGGTTTAACATACGGCAACACAAACTGCATTACTTCGTGCAAATAATACTTTTTCTTAATTTTTGAAGATGAGCCGCTCGGAGGCGGCTTGAGGCTGCGAACGAAACCATTCCTTATGTTTCTCCACTTCTCCTTACACTCTGCTACTGCAAAGAAATTTGTAAAAGAAAAATATGTACATATTGCTCCTTTGTTTAAAGTGTCATAACTCAAAAAACCGAAAATCGTGTAAAATGGCTTTAAAGTTTTGAATTTACATATACTCCTATAGTAAAAGAAATGCATATTTTGTTGTAGTGAGCTACTGGTAATCGGTACAGCTATGAACACAACAAAGAAGAAGAGGTAGCGGTATTTTCTGTATATTTTTTGTATATTTTGAATTATGACACTATTGAAGTAAATGAGCGATATGTGCAGTCATGTGAAAATTAATAGGAACACAACATTTTTACCAGTTTTGCGTATTTTTCTATTGTTTGGTTAATGTTTATTATTTTTTTTTTATAAAAATGCAGCTCATTATCTAACAAAAACCCTATAAACCCAAATTTCAAACTTTGTAGGAAAAAAAAATTCAACAACATTTTACAACAACAAACTTTTTATTAAGATTTTATAGAAAAATTGTAAGTACGCAGGTTTATAGCCTATTCAATTCTAGCTTCAGAAAGTTGCACGTTTCAAGTAGCTAAGAATTCGCGTTGATTTTTGATAATTTGATAAACTGCGTACTAACAATTTTTTTTTCTACAAAGTTTGAAATTTGGGTTTATATGGTTTTTGTTAGATAATGAGCTGCATTTTTATAAAAAAAAAATAATAAACATTAACCAAACAATAGAAAAATACCCAAAAGTGGTAAAAATATTGTGTTCCTATTGATTTTCACATGACTGTATGTATAATAGCGAGCTAATATTCATAAATTAAAATTTTTATAGAAATGTTGTCTTATACATATTTTAGGTACTTGACTTCTGGATGCATGTTTACTGCTTTGGGTTTATATTTCCAAAGAGGTGAAACAACCGTTGGACTAGTCGTAGAAGAAACTACTAAAGCCATTTGGAACTCGCTAAAGCAAAAATATATGCCACTTCCTAGTACGGAAAGATGGAAAGATATTTCAAAAAGATTTTTTGACTTATGGCAATTACCGAACTGCTTAGGGGCTATCGATGGAAAACATATCCGAATTCAAAAGTACCCGAATTCCGGATCAGCCAATTTTAATTATAAAAACTATCATTTGGTAATTTTAATGGCTAGTTGCGATGCTGATGGCTTATTTACAAGTACAGAATGTGGCTTTGCGGGTCGAAATAGCGACGGAGGTGTTTTCCGCGTTTCAACTTTTGGTCGTTGGTTGGATAGCAATAATAATTTACCATCTTCAAGCAGACTTCCGTATGACGAAAGTGACAATCAATTTCCGTATTATTTTGTGGCCGACAGCGCATTCCCCTTGAGGAAAAATATAATGCGACCTTTCCCCGAAAGAAATATAAATAATAAAAGGCGAATATTCAATTATAGATTGAGTCGTGGTAGAAAAAATATAGAGTGCGCTTTCGGAATGATGACTCAGAAGTTCCAGGTTTTTTTAACACCTATACGTTGCCGAAAATACGAAACTATTATTTCAATCGTTCAGAGTGCTTGTATTTTACATAATTATATACGAATAACAGACGGGGTACCATACAGAACCTCTTTACAAGAAGCTACACGTATCCAACAAAGCCAAGAAATTCTGCCAGAGACACACAATTTTAATATAAACGAAAATACTTCACCTCAAGATTTGCGCAGTTATTTAGCTAACTATTTTGTATTATCAAATGTAGCTTTGCCGTGGCAATGGAATTATTGTTTATAAATACATACAGTGGTCGAAAAGATTATAACTGCACCATGTTTTGACCAATTTTAACATATTATTTTGCTGTTATTCTTTAACGTGTAAATCCAAGTTTCAAACTTTGTGCAATATTTAAAAGAAAATATTAAACAAACGTCCGTAAAAATTTCAAGCTTTTTATTTAGATTTCTTACAAAAAAGATTTAGAGTGTGCAGTTTTGTGGCCCATTCAGTTCTAGTAGAATAAAGTAAAAGTTTCAAATTGCTAAAAACTACCGTTGATTTCTTAGATTTTTTTTGTTGCAGATGTAAAAAGTAAACTATATTTTAATAAAAAATAAACAAAATTAAATAACAGCAAAATAATATGTTAAATCTTTTTAAAAAATCTAAATAAAAAGCTCGAAATTAAAAAAATATTTCACAAAGTTTGAAACTTGGATTTACACGGGTTTTGCTAAAGAATGAACTATATTTTTATAAAACAATATTAACCAAATTAAATAACAAAATAATATGCTAAAACTTATTAAAATCTTGCGTCTATAGTACACAATAAATAAACTGAAAAAAATATAAACGCACAGCCATTTTCATGGGGAAATGTTCGGTTATTTGAATAATGATTTTAAAATTAGGTTTAAATTAAAGCTTGATCTTTTGACTACACGAGTATGTTAAAACTTTTTGATTCGAGTCACGTGTTTGGACATAATAATCCAAAATCATTGTACAAATAACCGTACCGTACATTTGCAGGAGCTGGTCGGCGGTGTATACACATTTTAAACCGAAATTAATAAATAAATTAGTGGACGGAAATTTGAAACCATTATTTTAGATTAGAGCTTAATCTTTTTACTACACGCGTATGTTAAAATTGTTTGATTCGACTCACGCGTTTGGACACAATAATCCAAAATCATTGCACAAATAACCGAACGGCACACTTTCATGTACAGATACATACATACCTGACCAATTTATTTGTTGAGCTATTTCGCTCCAAGCTCTTTCCGTTATATTTTTGTTGGAATATTCTTGTAAATTATTATTGTATAGGCACGCGCGATTTTCTATTAATTGCACGAATTTACAATTTCAGAAGACATTTTTGTGACAGAACTCGTAGTAAACGCACCCACCGAAAAACATAAACAAACTGCAAGCGTGCTATCGTACATGACGACAAGCAACCGACAATGCTGTACGATAGTCGTCGTGCTGCATGCATGCTGCGACGATTACGCGTAGCTGTCGGCTCGTGTGCGGTTCCCCATTTAAACACACGGGTGCGACAAAAAAGCGTATGCTGCATGCATGACGAGCCAATGACGATACGATGACGAGACGAGTCGTGTGCGGAGTGCCTTAGGCTTTGATTTCTCATACTCTAAGTCTACTTTTAAGAATCTACACTTAAGGCTCTAGTCATAAAGTCTTTGTATGTATCTATCATATAGTCTGTAAACACCCTGTTTGTTGTTGATTAATAAATAAATAACTTTCGCTCCCGCATTATTAATATTGGCGTTAAAACGCGTCGATTGATACCCCTCTCGATTTTTTTTGTCAATTTTGGCCTGGTTCCGCTAAAGTGCACTTTTACCATATTTGTATATCTATTTGTTAAAATAATAATTTACAATAATAATTTATTTAATTAATAATTTATTAAAACAAAAATTTTAAGTCCAAATACATTTGTAAAACTATTTATCACAAAATTTTACGTATACATACTAGGGATACATACATACTAGGGATGTTTCGAATGTCATATTTTTGACATTCGCGAATTTTTGGAATGCGAATGCGAATGTTAGAAACAACTTAAAAAAAGCTAAATGTGCGCCCAACAACGCAAAGAAAGATTAACGCCGAAATGCTGTAATCACAACAGACCGCTAATTTATTCGCCACTCTACTTTCACACCTGCTCTCTGAGAGCACTCTTCAAGAAACCGACATACGCGAGCATTGAAACTACATTTCCCGCTCATTAGGAACAACCGCCAAAGAAGTAGTCGGATTTCAGCGAGGCCGTAAAAACAATTGGTGCGATGAGGACTGTGAAGGGGCTGGAGAGGAAAAAGATACCGCCTACGGGACCACGTTGCGATCAACGTGAGCCATGTAGATCTACATACAGGGCGGCGGAAAACGTGGGTATGGTACTTCCCACCTGAAATTTTAAAAGGTTACCCACCTGAACATTTTTAGAAGAAAAATAAATTCAATTGACTTTATTGTGCAACAAACACTTTGCAATACTTGTTAAGGCAATTCTCTATTTGCAACGATTTACAATACTTACTTGGTAACTTCAAATTTACTGATAGCTTGCTTATTCGCAACTTAACTCGTAACTGTTTGTCTTACAAGTGAACTTTCCGTGCACTGTAGCAAGGCCTTTATATACCAGCATTGCTTTACAGCTATGGTAACTCCAGAAGGTTTTTATCGAAAGTTATCGTTATCGAACATTCCCGTCCTTCTCCACTGCATAGAACCACCTGTCATCCTTTTCGGTTTTGCTTTCACCTGCCATTCGTGTTTTCAGTATTCGCCACAATATTATGGACCGATTTGTGATTCGTAAAAACGGACCAGGACGCATTTAAATTTTTTCGAAATTTGATTAAATGATAATTTCCATAGTAGTATGAAAAATAAATGTATTATACACAAAACAATAACTTTTTCTAACGAGCCCTGTTTGGGGTTGCCAGATTTTGAAACGGAGAAAGGAGTACATTTACATTTTCGATAGAAAAAACGCAGTACAAGACCTAAAAAAGGAGTACAATTTCCTTTTTTTTAATTTTTTGTGCAATTAATAGTTACAAATTACCATTAAATAAGGTACAAATAAGCAAAGATATTTTAGAAATCTTTTTCAAAACAACAATAAATGTTAAAAATAAAGATATCGACTAGTATAACCATTTTTGTTATATACATTTTTTTGTGAAAGCTGATAGTTTACGAGTTATTAGAGTTTAAAGGTAGCTTTTCTTTTTCCAATCTGGCCACTCGGGTACAGCACTCAATGCCCCAAGAATCGAGCCTTAAGATAAAATAAAGAGAAATCTTTCAGAAAAAGTGCTAATGGTGTATTAACTATAGTGTTTTCTAGTGGAATAGGAGCCAAAATCCAAAATTAAAAATAAATAATATAAAAAAACTTTTTAATATACAACGCTTTTATAAATGGACTAAAAAGTAGAAAATAATACTTCTCAGTCCCATAGAATTTGTTTTGATAACTTTTGATTTTGAAATTTTAGCAAAAGTCATTATAAACAATCTATGAAATTGAAAATGAAAAACGTGGAGCGCATGCAATACAAAGCATTCGATTTAATTGACAATAGTCAAACTACATAACGTAGACCTAAAATTTCTACAGCGAAAGTAGAACTTTGAAATCGATTTTAAGCGGTCGTTATTCATATACCCACATACATACATTCATATATTACTTTTCATATCAATTCAAGTGTATTACATGCGCCCCACGTTTTTCATTTTCAATTTCATAGATTGTTTATAATGACTTTTGCTAAAATTTCAAAATCAAAAGTTATCAAAACAAATTCTATGGGACTGAGAAGTATTATTTTCTACTTTTTAGTCCATTTATAAAAGCGTTGTATATTAAAAAGTTTTTTTTATATTATTTATTTTCTACTTTTTAGTCCTGTCTGAATAAAATTTTGCAATAGATATTAAAATAATTCAACGATATTAATAGAAAGGTGCACACACATGCATTTACATATGTATGTACATACAAACGAGCACCAATTAATTTTATTTAAAAAAATGGCGTGTCGTCTATTTCCGGTGTAGCAAACGTAGTACATAGGGCGACATCTAGATGTCATCTACCTCGCCCTATTCACTATGCTTTTTTATAGGAGCTTTTCAAAGCTTTGCTTTATGGTGTCGGACACACAACATTGAAAGTTTCTGGAACACAACATTGAAAGTTTCTGGAACACAACATTGCAAGTTGATAAAAGCGTTGTAATAATAAAAAGTGATATTTTGAACGGTATTTTGAGGATTAAGTTATTGTTTTTGTAACTTCTCTATAGTTTTCCTATATTATATGATAATTTATCTTCACGATAATTCATTCATTTTCATTCTATTATCTCTTTTCTAAGCGAAGATCTACGATTTTGAAAAAAAACTCGTGTTTTGCCTATAGTGCGACGCCTCTAGCCATTTTGTATCACAACTTTAAGTTATAGATGCAAATTTTTTTTAATTTAAGTTTTACTCCTTTCACCAATACACACTTGTCCTAATTCAGTTTTTCTGACATAAATGAACTACTGCTGCTTCGAAGTTGAAATTTGGCGAAGTCAATCGNTCATTCATTTTCATTCTATTATCTCTTTTCTAAGCGAAGATCTACGATTTTGAAAAAAAACTCGTGTTTTGCCTATAGTGCGACGCCTCTAGCCATTTTGTATCACAACTTTAAGTTATAGATGCAAATTTTTTTTAATTTAAGTTTTACTCCTTTCACCAATACACACTTGTCCTAATTCAGTTTTTCTGACATAAATGAACTACTGCTGCTTCGAAGTTGAAATTTGGCGAAGTCAATCGCTATGGCATATACATATATATAAGAAGATGAACAAATTTTGGAGCATCGGGCCACGCCCACCTTGACCGCCCATACAAAATTTTTTGTAGCTTTAAAGATTTTCAATGAGAAGTGAGTAAATTTGATACGTATTTATATAAAGTAAAGTTGCAAAAGTGGTGTAACACATTTACTCAAAACCCTCTGGACCGATTTTGACGAAATTTCGACATAAGACTAACTAAGTTAAATTAATTACTTCAATATGGGTATCAATCGAAATGGTGTTGAAAATTATTTATTTCTAAGCAACATGTAGGAGGGTTGCCATTTGTTTAAAAAATTCAATTGAACATGAACATGGGAATTATTTAATTGGAATACGTATCACAATATGGGTGTCAGACGAGGTTGGTTGTAGTCTGAAAATCGAAAGAGTTTTGAAATGCTTCATTTCTAAACTACATGAAGTAGGGCCGCCATCTGTTTAAAAAGTCAAACTGAGCTTGAATTAAAGGAA